AGAAAAAAAAAAAGAAAAGAAAAGAAGGCAGGGCAGCTTGTAAATGAAAAGAGAGCCACTAGACATATTAGCCAACTGCAGATGTGGATCAAATTTGTATACTAATTTAAACAAATTGTAAAAAAAAAATTATGAGAAGATTGGAGACATTTGAATTCTGAGTATTTGCCAATATTAAGGAAGTTTTTTAGGTGCGATAAAAATATCAGGGTTATGTTTTTTTTCAAAAAACAATCCTTTTTTTGGAGCTACATACTAAAATATATATGAATGAAATGATATGAAGTCTGGGATGCATCTCAAAATAATCCAGTGAAATGGTAGAAAACAGGGAATAAGGGATAGGGAGAAATAGATGAAATGGAATTTCCACACATTGATAATTGTTGAAGCCTAATGATGGTCCATTACATTACTTTCCCTTTTTCGTATATCTTTGAAATGTTCTGTAATATAAAGTTTTTTTTAAAGTGGGTGTGGCGGGGCACGGTGGCTCAAGCCTGTAATCCCAGCACTTTGGGAGACCAAGGTGGGTGGATCACGAGGTCGAGAGGTTGAGACCATCCTGGTCAACATGGTGAAACCCCGTCTCTACTAAAAATACAAAAAAATTAGCTGGGCGTGGTGGCACGTGCTTGTAATCCCAGCTACTCAGGAGGCTGAGGCAGGAGAATTGCCTGAACCCAGGAGGCGGAGGTTGCGGTGAGCCAAGATCGCGCCATTGCACTCCAGCCTGGGTAACAAGAGCGAAACTCTGTCTCAAAAAAAAAAAAAAAAAATTAAAAAGAAAAGTGGGTGTGAAGGTGGCTAGGTGCAGTGGCTCAAGAGTGTAATCTTGGCACTTTGAGAGACCCAGGCGGGCGGATCATTTCACCTCAGGCGTTTGAAATTAGCCTGGGCAACATGAGGAAACCTGGTCTCTATCAAAAGAAAAAAAAAATTAGCCAGGTGTGATGGTATGTGCCTGTGGTCCCAGCTACTCGGAAAGCTGACTTGAGCCCAGGAGGCAGAGGTAACAGTGAGCTGACATCATGCCACTGCACTCCAGTGGGTGACCTCATCTCAAAAGAGATAAATAAATAAAAAGTGAGTGCAGGGGGAGCCAATCACATACATGGGCAGCATCATAAAGAAAGGTTTTCTTTTCCTTTTTTTTTTTTTTTTTTTTTTTGAGACGGAGTTGTACTCTGTCACCCAAGCTGGAGTGCAGTGGCACGATCTTGGCTCACTGCAACCTCCATCTCTCGAGTTCAAGTGATTCTTCAGCCTCAGCCTCCTGAGAAGCTGGGACTACAGGCATGTGCCACCACATCTGGCTAATTTTTGTATTTTTTGTTTTCATGGGGTTTCACCATGTTGGCCAGGTTGATCTTGAACTCCTGACCTAACATGATCCACCCACTTTGGCCTCCCAAAGTGCTGGGGTTATAGGCAGGAGCCACCGCTCCCAGCCAAGAAAGGTGAGATTACAGGCATGAACCACTGTGCCTGGCCTAGATCATATTAGAGTTTTAAAGTTGGTATTTGTCTAATATTTCACTAAGATCTTTCTCCTAATGGTAAAATTCCTGTGTGCATTAGTCAGGATAAGCTGACAAGGTCCAGATCTCAGTCATTTAACATAAATAACACAAGCAAAGGTTGATCTTTTGCTTGTGTCACAGTCCAGTGGGGAGTGCGGGAGAAAGAGGATCTGGCCCCTTGGCCCTCTGGGGCCTCTGTCAATACCTCAGAGAAGTCCTTCACTGAATCTGCATGAAAGCCATCCCCATCTGAATGGCCTCTGACTGGAGGCGACACACATCACCTTCACTCACAGTCCATCAGCAAGGACAAGAAGATAAGGAGAATGTCAAGGAAGGCAGTGCTGATGTTTTAGCTTCAGAATAACCAGCTAGTCTCAGCCACACCCATTGTTATGGGTAGTAACAATGCATTATTCCAGTTAAGTGAACAAACATCCACGCCAAAGTGCTGATGCTAACATAGAAATTCCAGCATCCCAGAGAGGCGAGGGAGAGGGAGGTTTGTGGCCCGATGCCTTCCTGGTTCTTTGATAACTCTGTGCAGGTAGACTACTCACTTCACCCACCAGGTGGAAACTGCTTTCAGAGCAGGAATGTTTGGATGGGGAAATATTCAGCTTTGTCTCCTTTATATAAAGAGCTGGAGGCCCAGGGTTTTTATTTTTATTTTTTGAGATGGAGTTTTGCTCTTGTTGCCCAGGCTGGAGTGCAGTGGCACGGTCTCGGCTCACTGCAACCCCTGACTCCTGGATTCAAGCAATTCTCCTGCCTCAAGCTCCGGAGTAGCTGGGATTACAGACTTGCGCCACCATACCCAGCTAATTTTGTATTTTTAGTAGAGATATGGTTTCTCCACGTTGGTCAGGCTGGTCTCGAACTCCCGACCTCAGGTGATTCACCAGCCTCAGCCTCCCAAAGTGCTGGGATTACAGGCATAAGCCACCACACCCAGCCAGCCCAGGGGCTTTTAAATGAAGGAAGGGAGTCCATGGATGTGCTTCAAAGGTTTGGTGATTCCCTGGAAACCATATGTAAAATTTTGTATTCGTGTGCGATTTTCTAGGAAGAGGGTCCATAGTTGAGCACATAGAAGACATTCAATAAATATTCCTTCTAAAAACTCATGAAAGGGTCTGTGTTAAGGTTCTCCAGAGAAACAGAACTAATAGGATGTGATTATAAATAGATTTATTTTAAAGAATTGGGTCACATGACCGTGGAGGTTGGCAAGTCCCAAAACTGCAGGGTGGACTGGCAGTCTGGAGACAAGGAAGAGCCAAGGCTGTGGTTAAGGTCTGAAGGCTGTCAGGCCCGAGAATCCCCTCTTGCTCAGGAGGAGTCAGTCTTTTGTTTTTTTCAGGCTCTTGGTGGATTCAATGAGACCCACCCACATTAGGAAGGGCCATCTGCTATACTTAGAGTCCACCAATTGAAATCTTAATCTCTCCCAAAAAACACCATCACAGAAATGTCCAGAATAATGTTTGACCATATACATCTGGGCATTGTCACTTAGCCAAATTGAGACATAAAATTAACCATTACAGAGTTCTTGATCCAAACAAAAGGCAAAAATTAGGAACTACTGTTTTAAGAAGTTTCCGCCATTCTCCCTACCTCTCATTAGCTAGTCTCTATTCCTGGTCCAGTTTCCTCCCGAGGCACATAACCACTCCCTTCTAGCATCTATTTCCATCTATTCCACACTGAGAGAACTGGAGCAGAAATACCCAAAGAACTTTCGTAAATGTTAAAGAATTACTTTTCTCCAGGAATTTTTTAAAAAGTCTTGATAGAATCTCTAGAAATGTTACTTAATCAAAACATTTTAATTGGTTGGGCATGATGGCTCACACCTGTAATTCCAGCACTTTGGGAGGCCCAAGTGGGCAGATCACAAGGTCAAGAGATCAAGACCATCTTGGCCAACATGGTAAAACCCTGCCTCTATTAAAAATACAAAAATTAGCAGGGCATGGTGGCTCATGCCTGTAATCCCAGCTACTTGGGAGGCTAAGGCAGGAGAATCACTTGAACCTGAAAGGGGGAGGACTGCAGTGAGCCAAGATTGTGCCACTGCTCTCCAGCCTGGCAACAGAATGAGACTCTGTCTCAAAAAAAAAAAAAAGGCTGGGTACAGTGGCTCATGCCTGTAATCCCAGCCTTTGGGAGGTTGAGGCGGGCGGATCACAAAGTCAAGAGATCAAGACCATCCTGGCCAACATGGTGAAAACCCCATCTCTACTAAAAATACAAAAATCAGCTGGGCATGGTGGTGCACACCTGTAGTCCCAGCTTTTCGGGAGGCTGAGGCAGGAGAATTGCTTAAACCTAGCAGGCAGAGGTTGCAATGAGTTGAGATCGCACCACTGCACTCCAGCCTGGCGACAGAGTGAGACTCCACCTCAAAAAAAAATTTTTTTTTAATCTTCATTTTCTGTATGTGTTAGTGATGGTATAATTGGCTAAGGTATATATCTTTCAGTTTATATTTTACATCCCTGCTTCTAGTCATTTGTCTTGAAGAAATCCTCCAACCAAATGAAGTTCCTTGAAATCACGGATTATTCCTTATTCCTTTGCAATTCTCTACAGTGTTAAAAATACTACTGGCGCAGGAACAAACACTCATTAACTGGTAGTGTTGTCACATTCTGCTTTATTCGACTCCACTAACGTTAAACCACCAGCTAGCCCTGGTATTAAAAATAGCCCACATTTATCTTTCAGGTTGTCATTTAACTTTGACATCTCTACCTTGATTTCACAGAAAGAGTTGCACATATAGAAGACAGAGGCAAGGCTGGGGCAAGAATCTTCTTACTTTCTGGTTATTTATTTGCATAGGTAAAGTCTAGGGATTTAATGCAGATATTCTCTTTCATCCTCCCTTAGCCTAACTTAATCCTCATCTGAAAAAGTCCAATGAAGTGGGTTTGCAAAAAAAAAAAAATTCTTGCCAGGCACGGTGGCTCAAGCCTGTAATCCCAGCACTTTGGGAGGCCGAGGCGGGTGGATCACAAGGTCAAGAGATCGAGACCATCTTGGTCAACATGGTGAAACCCCGTCTCTACTAAAAATACAAAAAAAATAGCTGGGCATGGTGGTGCGTGCCTGTAATCCCAGCTACTCAGGAGGCTGAGGCAGGAGAATTGCCTGAACCCAGGAGGCGGAGGTTGCGGTGAGCCGAGATCGCGCCATTGCACTCCAGCCTGGGTAACAAGAGCGAAACTCCGTCTCAAAAAAAACAAAAAAACAAAACAACAACAACAACAACAACAAAAATTCTTTCTGCTCATTCTCCTGCAGTGCTTCTACTCACGTTGTAATGTGGTATGGCTGAAACTTCCCTTCCTTGCCCTGGGAAAGAAAGGATCTTCTGTTTCATGAAGTATTGAGGGACCTGGATGGGTCAGCGATGCTCTATTAATATAAAATGAGATTATTCACCAGCTGTTGTTTCCTTCCTTTCAGCAGAGCTATTGAAACGTTTGTAAAATAGCAGAGGGTTCCAGATGGGAGGAGCCATTGTTCAAAGTCCAGACCACCCAGCGGGCATGTCAGGTAATGGGCTTCACATCTGACCCCTGCAGAAACTTGATAACACATTGAGGGTGTCATATGATTGGTCTGTGCCACTGGAGAAAACACCCTCCTTTTCCTTCCTGCTGACTTCTTTTTCCCCATTGTCTTCCCTCTCCTCTTGTATGACCACAGATTCTCCTAAAAATCTATTCAAAAAAAGTTATTAGAGTAAGTTAAACTCAGTTAAAAAGATAGCAGATGTTGCTTTGATATCAAATTTGTCTTTTGCAGCCCACAACATGACCTATTCATGTGTTTGCTTTTCATGGACTCCTAAGATTATTCACAATGGAAGAAACAATGGCAGAGAAAGGTATCTATGCAGAGCAGCAAGCCCCTCAGATTTAATGTGCATGCAAATCAACTGGGGTTCCTATTCAAATGATTCAGTAGGTCTGGGGAGGAACCCAAGAATCTGCATTTCTAACAAGCAGCCAGGCGATGAGTAACTCTTGGAGCAGTAAGGGTCTGGATTGATGGTTTAATTGTTTCCATTTTGTAGCACATCTGTCAATTTGCCCAAGCTATAGAAAACACAGACTAACAAACTTACTTTTCTCCTTAAAGCTGGATTCCTTAATGCTTTGTTATAGAAATATATGAGAATACAGCATTGACCATTATCTCTCTTTTTTTTTAGTTGGAGTCTTGCTCTGTCGCCCAGGCTGGAGTGCAGCGGTATAATCTCGGCTCACTGCAACCTCCGCCTCCCGGGTTCAAGCAATTCTCCCACCTCAGCCTCCCCAGTAGCTGAGGTTATAGGCATGCACCACCACGCCCAGCTAATTTTTGTATTTTTAGTAGTGACAGGGTTTCACCATGTTGGCCAGGATGGTCTCCATCTCTTGACCTCGTGATCTACCCACCTCAGCCTCCCGAAGTGCTGGTCTTACAGGCATGAGCCACCGCACCCAGCCCATTATCCGTTTATTTTTTTAAAAAGTCCTTTTTACTGATGATCATTCAACCTTCATTACTATTTTTGTTGATTTTCTTCTGTGAGCACAGGATACCTATTCTCTATCTGGATCCAGTATACTAAGCTATAACGACCTTTCCCAGGAAATATTGTGTTTGCTGGGAGTGGCTTTTCCAGAAGCCTTATGACAGGAAAGGTCTGATTCCCACTCTACCAGTTAAGATCTGAGGCCCTGGGCAAGTTGTCTTGCCTCTCTGATCAATTGCTGTACCTAAAATAGTGTGCACTGTGTGGGGGGAAGTGATTAAAATTTTTGAGGAACAAATTAATTATTATTATTTTGTTGTTGTTGTTTTCATTTATTTATTTATTTATTTATTTATTTATTTTATTAAGACAGAGTTTCACTCTTGTAGTCCAGGCTGGAGTGCAATGGCACGATCTCTGCTCACTGCAACCTCCGCCTCACGGGTTCAAGCAATTCTCCTGTCTCAGCCTTCTAAGTAGCTGGGATTACAGGCATGCTCCACCACACCCAGCTAATTTTTTGTATTTTTAGTAAAGACGGGGTTTCTCCATGTTGATCAGGCTGATCTCGAACTCCTGACCTCAGGTGATCCACCTGCCTCAGCCTCCCAAAGTGCTGGGATTACAGGCATGAGCCACCACACCTGGCCTATTATTATTATTTTTTATAGAGATGGGGTCTCACTATGGTGCCCAAGTTGGTTCAAACTCCTGGACTCAAGCCATCTTTCCTCTACAGCCTCCCAAAGTGCTGGGATTATAGGCGTGAGTTACTGCTCCCTGATGAAAAAAAAAAAAAAAGCTTTTTTTTTTTTTTTTTTTTTTTTTTTTTTTTTTGTTTTTTTGTTTTTTTTTTGTTTTTTTTTTTTTTGAGACGGAGTTTCGCTCTTGTTACCCAGGCTGGAGTGCAATGGCGCGATCTCGGCTCACCGCAACCTCCGCCTCCTGGGTTCAGGCAATTCTCCTGCCTCAGCCTCCTGAGTAGCTGGGATTACAGGCACGCGCCACCATGCCCAGCTACTTTTTTTTTTTTTTTTTTTTTTTTGTATTTTTAGTAGAGACGGGGTTTCACCATGTTGACCAGGATGGTCTCGATCTCTTGACCTTGTGATCCACCCGCCTCGGCCTCCCAAAGTGCTGGGATTACAGGCTTGAGCCACCGCGCCCGGCCAAAAAAAGCTTTTTGAGTGGGAAAGTAGAACTATCAACTTCATAGGATTATTTTAAGCTTTAAATGAGATAGTGTATGCAAATTACTTACTATTTTACATGGAATAAGAAATAACCCTTATAAAGCCCTGTGAAATGCTCAAAACAAACAAACCCCTTAAAAACAAACAAACCCCTGACATTTACATTCAGAACTGCTAAAATGTGGGCCAGGCATGATTGGGAGGTCAAGGTGGGCAGATCACCTGAGGTTGGGAGTTCAAGACCAGCCTGACCAACATGGAGAAACCCCATCTCTACTAAAAAAAAAAAAAAAAAAAAATAGCCAGGCATGGTGGTGCTTGCCTGTAATCCCAACCACTTGGGAGGCTGAGGCAGGAGAACTGCTTGAACCAGGAGGTAGAGATTGTGATGAGCAGAGATCATGCCATCGTACTCCAGCCTGGGCAACAAGAGTGAAACTTCATCTCAAAAAAAAAAAAAAAAAAAATTGCTAAAATGTTTTCCCGTAAACCGTCATATCAGAAGGAAATCTTTCCAAAACATCTCCCGTCCCCTGCCTTGTTTGATGGTGTCTACTGAATTCATTTTAGCTCTTTCCTCATGACTCAAGGTCCCTGTTTTGCAACGAGTGACTGCACTGTCCTGGAACACAGGGATGACCTCAGTCAGGGGTTTTCCTACTGTCCACGCTCCCTGACCCCTCCCCCGCCCCCACACTCACAGCCCTGTTCATAGTTCCATAATATCACTTACCACACTGTGGCAAAAATATCTGTTTACCCAGCTTCTTGGCCTAGGACCCCTTTTCTCTGAGCAGGGTCCAGGCCCTCAGTAAATGTCTCCCCAAGCCCCATTTAAAGGGCTGGGTGTCCAGAACTCAGCAGCATGGCTTGTGTTCAATCATTCTGACACTTTAAAATGTCTCCTTGTCCTCGGCCAAGTACTGAAAGCACTGCTCTGTTTTATCTTTTCCAGATAACCAAGGACAGAAATTACATTCCTCCGTAGAATCTTGTAATGGTTTCCTGTTACTAAAGGACCAAGAAGATATTTACTCTTCTGGTAAAATTTAAGCCAAGTCTGTCTTCTTTGCTTTTTCATTTGGGGTCTTCGTTCTGCTTTCATTGACGGCAAGGACATTGGAACCAGACAGCCCTGGGTTCAGATATTAAGCTACCATTTGGTAGTTAGCTGACTCTTAGTGAGTCACTTAAATTCTCTGTTACTCAGTTTCCTTATCTGAAAAATGGGATAATTCTCAGGCTGCAGATTTGCTGTGCATGTGGAGAAGCAGTAAAGTTAGATGAGTAAAACTCCTCTAAGGGAAGAGTTTTGTTACCCCTGGCTTTGATAACCTTGCTAGGGTTGGGGCAGGTGTGGGACTCTAAAGGGCCTTCCCGAGTAATATTAGATGGATCTTACCCAGGCTTTAAGAGTCTGGCTTAGTCATAGTTGGGCATTGCATTTGCAGAGCACACCGGTGAGTAGGACCCCAAGCTACTCAGGGTGGCTGAGTCTGATGGTTTTCTTCCCAACAGCCATTCCTTCATTACCTTTCATCCCTGCTGTCAGAATCGGCTTTCCAACTCCAGAGACTAAAAATGCCAATAAAGGTTGAACATCCCTAATCTGAAAATCTGAAACCCGAAATGCCTTAAAATGCAAAATGTATTGAGTGCCAACATGGTACTCAAAGGAAATGATCATCAGAACATTCAGGTTTTAGGTTTTCAGATTAGGGATGCTCAACTGTTAAGTATAAAGCAAATATTTTTAAATTGGGGGAAAATAATCTGAAATCTGAAACACTTCTAGTCCCAAGCTTTTGCGGTACTCAACCTGAATAATTTTTTTTTTTTTTTTTTTTTTTTAAGGTGGAGTCTCGCTCTGCTTCCCTGGCTAGAGTGTAATGGCACAGTCTTGGCTCACTACAACCTCTGCCTCCCAGATTCAAGTGATTTTCCTGCCTCTGCCTCCTGGATTCAAGTGATTTTGCTGTCTAAGCTGAATAACTTTTACTATTAGGGCATGAGCATGTAACCCAACCCCGGTGGAGGAGTTTAAAGGTAAGTCTTCTGAGATGTTTCTGTGCAAGTTTTTTCCTTTATGATGTCGGGAGGCAGATGTAGTTATGTGTAGACATAATTCCTGGAGCTATGGCAGCCTTCTTGTGACCATGAGGGAAACTCTGAGGATGAAAACCAACAGGCTGGGATGGCACGAAGGAAAGTAGAGAGCACATGGGTTGGGTGCTTGATGATATTGTTGTGTCCCTTAATTAACTAAGTCTGAAAATGATACCCCCAGAGATAAGAAACTTTATTATTTAAGCTTTATGTAGTTACATAATCCATTACCTGTTACTTTAGTATGCATTCAGCATACAGTTGAGAAGGCTAAGCTTGGAGGGTATGGGGAGAAGGAGAAGACTTGATGGTAACACAGCAGAAAAGGAAAAGAGAAAAGTTGCTTCTGTTGGGGGGAGCACTATAAATCTCTACTCCACTCCTTTGGGGAAGCCTGAGTCAATTCCACATGGCTTATGAATACTTTTGGTGTTCATGGATTCTTCTGGGGGACTTGAAGAAGAATTGAGACCTACATCAAGAATGGTGCCCAGCTGGAAATAGCTGCACTTCTGGGATACGTAAGAATTTGAGACCATATGCAATAAATGATAGATGCTGTTATTACTATATTATCAGTATTATCTTAGCCCCTGACTGGTAGGCAGAAAAGAGGTAGAAATTAGATGCTCGTGGGTGGGACTGTACTCTGTAGTTGTCCTTGAGAAGAAGCTTGCCAAGGCTGTATGAAGACAGCAAGAGGACTGAGCAGCAATTGGCAGCGGCCTCAGTGGATGGGCAGCTCTGCTACTTAACCTCTTACCAAGGTGCTCTGCAGATGGAGCAAAAGGCTGGAACCCAGTTAGCAGAACAAAGGCCTGAAATCAGAGCAGCTCAACAGAAGTCCGACTTATTGTTTTGGAATGTGGCTTCCTGAATTCTCCCTGACTAGAAAAGAACTGGTTCCAGATGTCAGGTTGGGACTGACCTTCAATCTTCCACACAGAAATGACGTTACCTTAAGAATGTTATACACTGACGGTGTGGCTCACACCTGTAATCCCAGCATTTTGGGAGGCTGAGGCAGGAGGATCATTTCAGGTCAGGAATTCAAGGCCAACCTGGCCAACATGGTAAAACCCAGTCTCTACTAAAAATACAAAAATTAATTGGGCATGGTGGTGCATGCCAATAGTCCCAGCTACTTGGGAGGCTGAGGCAAGAGAATCACTTGAACCCAGGAGGTGGAAGTTGCAGTGAGCCGAGATTGCACCACTGCACTCCAGCCTGGGCAACAGAGTGAGACTGTCTCAAAAAAAAAAAAAAAAAAAAAGAATGTTATACACATACCACATATGTAGAAATATATAAAAATTCTCCTTCTTTGTCTCAGTCTCTCTTTTTCTCTGTATGTGCGTTTCTCCTTATCTTAACCTCTCACAAAGGGCCTCGAGCGCTAACCTCATTCACCCAGACAGCTACAGGGAGTCTTCAAAGCCAGGGATTTGCTTTGGTCAATGGGGTATCAAAGGACACAACATACACCATATTTGAACTAAGGTTTTAAAGGGCCATTGGGTATTTTGCTCTTTTCATTCTGCCACAGGGATGACAGGTCTTGCTTGAATTGGGGGCTCCTCCTGCAGCCTTGGTCCCTGAATGTGAAAACACATGGAGCAGAAGCAGAGCCTTCACTGATGTGATGGCAGACGTGTAACAGCAGAGTGAGGAACATTGGTTGTTACAACCCCTGGGATTTAGGAAGTCATTTGTTACTGTGGTAAAGCTGACTAGTAAATCCAGACAATCACCCAGATTGCCAAGCTGGGAGAAATCATAAATGTTTGTTGTTTTAGGCCAGTACATTTAGGGTCTTTGTAAGACAGGAATAGATAGCTGGAGGTTGTGTGGCTTGAGACACTGAAAGGTTCAGGATTCAAATGGTGCCCGCAGGGTCCAGTGTCCCCACTTCTCTTAACTCCACTTCACCTTGGATGAGCTATTACCCCAGCTCTACGTGGTGGACTCCAGCAGCCTTAGATGATGCAGTATCTCCAGGCTCATGTCTTTCTACCTTCAAGTCTAATAGAAAGACAGCTTCTTTTCTGGCCATGCCTACAAAATCCCTGAGATTCACTCTGAATAAATAGACCGGCTGAGGTCATGGTTCCACCTGTGAGACACTCATTGTTGGGTGGAGATGGCAGTGGCTTGGGAAGGGGGTGTATCTGTTATGAGTCTTTCAGTTGAAACTCAAATGGCTAATTTAAAAGGGGAATTTACGTAGCCACATAACTAAAAAAAAAAGAAAAATTGATGGATGGTTCCAACTTCAGGTGTGCTATGATTTGGAGCTAAAGTAATGTCATCACTAGGACTCACCTCTTGACTTTTCAAAATTACTGACTCCCCACTTGGAATTATGAAAACAAGAAGAAATGGGTTTTGATGACAGTAATAGGTTCCAGTCAAATGTTTGGGTTCCTCATTTAACTTGGTTTCTACACGTAACCATAAACTATAGGATGTTAGTCTTGATGTATGGTCGCAGGTTTGTGTGTATCACAGAATCAGTGTCCATGTAAGTGCGTCTTTGTTTCAACTGCTAACAGAGATAAGAGTGTAAAATGGAGCCAAATTGCCCAAGCTCAGATTCTGGCTCCAACACTTGTTAGCTGGGTGACCCTGGGCAAGTTGTTTAACCTCTCTGTGCCTTGGTGTATTCATCGATGCTCTGTGCAATGGCGTAAAATGAAAGATGATATTCTCTACCTACCACATAGGGCCGTTGTTAATACATGTGAATCACTTAGAATAGTGCTTCAAATGTATTAAATGCTCAATAACTGCTATTATTATTACCATTTCTACAGAAAACAAATGATTACTAATAAAGACATTTTTTCAAAAATGACCATTTTAGATGGCAGGGGTTGGCTTGGTTCATATTTTTTGCTTGGCAGCGAGAGAGAGAGAGTGACTAGAACTGTATTTGCTCATATTGTGTATCAGAAAAAATTCTTACATTATTCTGCTGTGTGTTTTCACCTGCCTCTGCATGTTCCCATCAGTTACTGAGCTGTACTCTTCCAAGATCAATAACTCCCTTTATTTGTGCTTCTTTGTATGAAAGAAAGCTTACATAAAGCTCAACTAAAGCTATAGGGAGGAGACAAGCTAAAGGTTTCTTAGATTAGTATATTTTGTAATCTAGCTTTGAATAGTAAGGATGGAGCATCATCTTCTATCTCCTTTATCTTCTCATTGCGTAATCTTGCTTCTATTTTTTTGGGCGGGGCAAGCGGGGGAAGCTTGAAAAAACTTGACCATCCAAATGCGGCATTAGCAATTATTTGAACTTCATATCATGATGAGTTATAGGTTACTCATAGCTTCTCAAAGTTATTTTTGTTTTAGTTGTATTGTGTAATGGTGGCTGATAAACAATTGTTTGATGAATCTGCACTTATCCTGGCTCTGGTTGCAAACATTCCTAACTGTAACGTATCCCTTTGTGAGACTGGCAAGATTAAGCTCTGTGGGCACATTATTCACAGCTCTGTCTCTCAACTTCGGATGCTATTACACCAAGTTCCATATTGAGATGAAAAGGGGAAGAGTGGGTGGGGCTAGAGAGATGCTAGATAAGTTGAAGTGCTTTTGCAAGTACTGGGATGTATAATTTGTGTGTTTTATCTCCAAGCTAAAGTAGGGTAGGAAGATGTGAATTTTGCCTCATTGCTCTTCAAGTCAAACTTAGATTGCTGAGAGACTTCTTGTACAAACACAAACATTTGCTGAACATGTTCCTGAATTAAATGTAAGTGATGGCTTGGGAATCAGAAATCTTCCTGGACAATTTATGAGTTTGGACAGCTACCCGAATCTAAGGTTTTTCCAGGGCAATTCAAGTTGTTTTTCTCCTAGAGAAGGAACAAAAATGTGTAAGTATTCTATGACATTTTAATTT